TCCCACTTCGTTACTTCCTTTCTCCAGCCTTTGTTTATTTAGTGATTGACTACTGTCAGACTTAGAAGATTTAACTCTTAAAAAGGGTTTTGGTGGTCAGAGGAGTATATCTGCAATTGCTGGTTGTTGTTTTTTTAAATCTGTCTTGATATAGTCAGTACCTCTAAATAGTAGTGACGGTAGGTTCTTTCACAGTCTCTCAGTAGGGAAACTCATTGCCTCCCCCAAAATACCCACCCCCAAATTTTCACACTTCAGTCTGTCTGAGAACAGGCTCAAAGGGCAAGACTGTAGAGCAGGTTTCAGGATCCTGTGTTGTGGGGTTCTTTTCCATTTAAGCCTCTCGGAGATAGCCACACACTTGTGCTGCCTAGCTAAGGTATGGCTCACGTAAGTATTTTCTCCTGCCCTTCTACTATTTTTCACATTCATCCTCATTCTGTGAAACTCAGTTATTTACTTGATTTCCCAACACTTCTTACATTTGAAAAATTTGTTGCCAGCAAGCAGTACATGTAATGACAGTTATCTGAATGATTTTTGACAGTAATAAAGTATCTGCTGCCTTCTTCTGTCCCTCCCTTCATCTCTCCCACCCTCCATTACTTTTTCTTTTCCTTCCTTTTTCTTTTCGTTCTTAAATATAGTTTTAATTTATTATCACTGTTTTTAGTAGTATTACCATTGACAGTAGCAGTAGTCAACTTTTAGAATCAAAATATAACACGCATACAGACAAGTGCACAAATCGTAAGTGTATGCTGCTTGATGAATGACAAAGCGATCATTGCCAGAACCACCAAGTAGCAGGAGATGCAGAACATCACCTGCAACCAGGAGCTTTCCTTATGCCTCTTGCAGCCACTACTCCCCACTGAGGATCATTACTATTCAGACCTAAGCCACCTGTTAATTCTGTCCTCTTTTAACTTGCTGTTAATGAGTTTCTGGCATCTTCTGGGATTCTTAATTTTGGAAACACTCTCCAAGTTCATTCAAATTTGATTTGTTTCCAAAATTTTCCCCTAAAATATGGATGTATATAAAATAATCTCTGTGGTTTTCCAAAGATTTTGAAACCAAGTCGCTGGTATTATTGCACTTTTTAAATTTGCTTTTTAGGTCTGTGAATTTCATATAAGGGGGTGCCATCAATAGAGTTGCCTCTTTTTTTCTGTGATAATTCCAAAAGCAGTGTTGGATTTTCTGGGTGTCTGTGAATCTCAATCTTTCTTCCTGACAGTAATTTAAACTATTATTATGACATTTTCACTGGAGCTGCAGGCTTCTCGGTCTGCAGACTTTAGAAGGAAGTAAATAAAGAAATTAATACTGTTTACAATCCTTGAAGCTCTTCATGGTCATACAAACCTAATTCCCCATGTATGCTCCACAGCATGTGTTTTCATACTCATTTAAGGAAACACATCACTGGTTCTTTTCCTCTAGAAGACTTTTCTCATAAGATACTTACTCTAGGTTATGGTAGAAGAAGTCAGTGTCACCATTTGTACCTGAGAGAAGATGAGTAAAGTCAGTTTTCTGTTTTTAAACCAAAACAGGTTAGGTAGAATGTTTGATCTTGTGGAGGCTCCAGATTCATGCTGATCAATGCTTTTGCACCTGCTGATATTGATTCTAAGGATTCATCATTTTCCCAACATTGTATAAGCTACCTCAGCTACCACACCTTACCCAAATCTTTTTATTTTTAATAGTGTATCAAGCAGTTGTGGCATTTGGATAGGTCCTGGATGCGTTTCTCTGAAACAGAGCCCTTGACTAGGCTATCAGCAGAGATGGTATCACACTGATGGTTCTAGTTGGTGCAGGGCGGTTTCTCCCTTTGCCATAGAAAGGTGAAGCTTGTAGGTAGTTTTGGCTTGCAGGGATGTTCATGCTGCTGTTTCAAGGGGTTGAAACTTGTGTCCTATTCATACTTTATTTTAGGAGGCCTGTTTTCCTTCCTTAGTTTGAGGTCACATAATGATGTTTTTAGCACACAAGCTTCCTCCCTCCATGTAGGTAATCATACATTTTTTAGACAACAGTTATTTTATTTTTTAAATCCTCACTTGATATTTTTTCCATTGAGTTTTAAAAATTTATTAAATTGATTGGGGTGACATTGGTCAACATGAACATACAGGTTTTAGGTGTGAATTTCTATGTTACAAGATCTGTAATTTTTCCTTTGATTTTTTTAGAGAGAGTGGAAGGGAGGGAAGAGACAGAGATAGAGAAATATTGATGGGAGAGAGACTCATTGATTGGTTGTCTCCTGAACACGCCCTGACCTGGGCCGGGGATCGAATGAACCTGCAATCCAGGTACAAGTCCTTGACCGGGAATCGAACCTGCGACTGTTGGGTGTGTAGGCCTTGAGATTTCTATATGCTGAAATGTCTCCAGCCCACTGCCAGAGTCATCTGGATAAGGTGTAGTGGTAAACATGAAATAATGTACAATTTTAACCCAGACCTTCATATAGGAGAGAGAGACCAGCAATCAGAGAGGACAACACAATTTCCCCCCTTCATTTGAATATGTCAAGATCTTTAACCTAATTTTGAATTAATTAATCCAGGAGCTAGCTGTTAACCCAAATTTATGTCACAAATTTTTGGAGAATAAGCAATAGAATAGGTGTCACCTGAGAGAAAGATTTATAGAAGGATACAGGCCCATAGTTCACTTCATTTACACACAAACCAGCACCAGGTTAGATTCAGCGGTTGGCATACATGCATCATATTTTTAATCTGATTAAGGGCGGCTACATTCAGATTTGCCTAAATCATATAATAAATTGAAACACGAATGGAAATTGTTAACTAAGAAAAGTTTCCCAGTTTTCTTAAAATTTAAATACAGGGATCCAGCTAGTATAATCCAAAAGTTCTCTTCGTGATCATTAGACTTCACTGCTGTGGAACCCTTGTCTGTTGAAAGAGGGGCATTTCATACCTTACAAGGATATGAAATGTGATAATGGAAGGAAACTAGGAACCAGTGGAGTGTGCAAGGATTTAGGTATAAATAATAGGTGAATCCTAATTGTGAAGAGGAGCACCTTAATGTGTGGTGATGTGTTCATATCAGAACTCTTATCTTACGAGCTGCTTTTAAATTTTCATTCCTTTCTTTCCCCCAAAGCATGAAGACACAGTACAGTTATATATCATCTTTCTGAGTGTTTTTTTTTGGGGGGGTGAAGTTTTCACTGTCCTCCCATCAAATTACGTATGTGACTCAAGGGAAAACAGGCAGCTTAGATTATGATATAATTATTCACAAGGGGAAACCACAGTTGAAGTTGTTAGTTTTCTTTTTTCTTTATTCTCTTCTTTACAGTGAGTCAAAAGCATTCCTCCTTAACTTCACATAGAAAACACAACTTTGCACAATAAAATAGGGAGGGCAGGTTTCACAAGGGAGAAAGGCTGCTGTCAACTTTTCCCCCCTCAGGAATATGGAAATTTGGGCGGATTATCTGTTCAGAGGAGGTTTCCTTTATTAATTCTTTTTCCTTTTTTCACTTAAGACATCTGTTAATATTACACAGCCCAACAGATGTTGCAAAGCAAGTCCCATACTTTGTTCTTAAAAAAAAATGACATTTCCTCAATTGGTTCTCCCTACCTCTGTGACTGGGCCTAGCCTGCCATTTCTGCATAATTTGCATATATTAAGTTACATACCTTAATGCCATACACATTTGTAGCTTCAGCATTATTTTTATAGAGTAAAGTCTGATCTGATCATAAACTGTATGTTTGTTGCTTTAGAATGAAGAGTGGCTAAAACATTTTTAAAAAATCTCCTTTGAGAATGACAACCTAATTCCACACATAGGACTAGATAGCCAATTATTAAACACTTTTCTATAAGTGAATTACAAAAGCTTGAGTTGTTTTGCCATTAGGAAGTGCTGATTGTCATGCGATGTGGAGCGTCATTTTTATTTTGGCAAGAACAGGGACAGTTTTGTCTTGACAAGCCATTAGATGAATACCAGAGTGTGTCACATGGAAAACCACTGATCTTTAACCCAGCTCTGTACTTAACCAAGCCTTGAAAATGAATAGTGAATAAAAGAAGAGCAAAGGCCAGTTTACTGTCATTACAGATTACAGAATCTGCTAACAGCTGCTGAACTGAACCCGGGGAATTACAGGTATTGTTCTGTGGACCAGCAGAAGTCCTGGAGATGCCTGTGAAACTGTGTATATCATCTATACATTTATTTTACATTTACATGGTTGGAACATAGCTAGACAAACATGAAAATCCTTGAGTACTTTCTTAGTGTACTAAATGCATGCCTTTATCACCAAACCTTATATTTACAGATAACTATCTCAATGAGGTTTCCCTACCCCCAGTTATGGAATTTATTTTTTAAAAGCAGTGTGTTTTTAAAGAAATTATTAGTAAGTATTAAGAAGAAAACAAAAAGTATGGAAGATCTCCTCCTCCCCAAACAAAAATAAAACCACAAACATGCAGGCTAAACAAAATCCTTTGCTCATTTGCCCCTTCAGCTATTAACTGGGGCTGATAGTTGAAACCAACATGTGACTTTTTTTTTTGAGGGGAAAACCTAAACCCACCTCAATACCCAAATAATGAAAAGATCAGTAACATTTTAAACAGTCAGTTGTGGGAATTCTTGCTTACAGAGCTAACAAGAAAGAACCCACTGTCTTACTCTGCTGGTGGAATTGCATTGTGCCTCCCTATAGTCTTGTTATCCCACACACACTGAAATGCAAATTCTTTGCAACTAATTGGATCTCATTGATGGTACATGCACAGTATGTAGTTATATGCAAAAAGATTTTTTAAAAATTCTCTGTAATTACAACTTTTAATTATTATCCAAAACATCACCATCTATAGTATAGGTTTAAAATACATATGTCTAACGTTTTTTTTTTACAGATTACTCAACATGCGCTATGAAGTGCTTAGTAAGTATCAGAAGTAAGGGGAAGATGTTTATTTACAGCAATCAATAAGTTGGATTTTATTGAAGTTCTGTGAAAATACAGTTTAAATGTTGAACATCATAAACATCAGAAATCACTTTCAAAATGTTATCTTTTTCTTCACTTCTCCAGTCTGTTTTTACATTGTAAACTGCATGGGAGTTTCTTACTCTGTGCATGAGTTTTGATGAGGTGGAGGTATTCCCATTCCCATATTGTCTTGAATATCGTGGGTGCCATTTAGACCTAGTTGGTGTACTTCTTAATTTTCATGGTACATCTCTCACTATCAGTCAACGTGTGAAAGCCAACACATAGCCTTTAGTATTTGCAATTCTTTAACCTGAAATACATAAAATCGGGGCAGAAAAAAGCAATTACCGTGGAAGTGATACCTGCCTCCACTGCTACCACCCCCAGTTTTAAATAACTTTAACACAGATGATTCCATATAGTTGTTTCATACTCTGCAGACTATAGAGCCAATGGACAAACTCAAAAATCATTTTTGTGCCTTGTAGGTATATTTTGTTGTCTCTTATTGTAATAAAGCTTGTTGTCTTTGTAAACCTAGTCTTACAGACTAGTTAAATTTTCCTTTAATCCAGTACTTTTCGCAGTACAGTATCATATGATATAGATTTGTTGTGAAAAAATATTTTGAACATTAGAAAGCTATCTCTGTAATTTTGAGGCTTGTGCCTTGACAGTAATATGCAGGTACTAGTTACATGGCAGACCTGTTTCATCGAGAGCAACCTCAGACATTGATATCTGAAATAGCTCAGTTTGCCTGCGCGAGATAGCATTTTGTCAGAAGACTGCTGGCCGAGCAGACTAGATTTGGATGTATTAGCTAGTCAGCCTAATAACCCTGTACAGACTGTATTGATTTTTTAGGAGAGAGTTTATGAACTAAATAAACTTGGGGTTGGTGTCTTAATAAACTGCTTCTCTCAGTCTGTCACATTTAGTTACGGAGCTGTGCAGTTTAGGGGGAAAAAAGGCTAATTCTGTTACAGATTGTTCACTGCAGGGTCTCCAAATTAGCCCTTTGTTTTGTAATGCCACCTTGCTTGGGCTCGCTTTGAGCACATTTCTCAGTTTTGCCCTAATGAGTTGCAACACTGATAATGTGGCTGATGATCTTTCATTGATTTCACTATCACTTGCTTGTCTGGTAATTGATCCGTTGCTGAGCCTCTAGTTAATTATATCGGCTTTGACATGGCCCGGTCCACGGGGAATTTGAAGTCTTGCAGAATAACAGTTTTAATAAAAGAGTCTATTACTGCAGGTGCTTGCTGCTGCATGCCAGTTGATTTTTGTGTTGTGTGTGTGTGTGTGTGTGTGTGTGTGTGTGTGTGTGTGAGAGAGAGAGAGGGGGGGGGAGAAGAGAGGAGAAGGGTTGGGGGGAGGATAGCAGGGAAAGAAGAGGACTGCTGGACTGAAAGAAAGAAGGGGTGGGGGCTGGAAGAAGAGGAAGAGGGAGTTAAGGGGAGAGGAAGGGAGGAGGGGGGAACTAGAGAGAGCAAGAGGCAGGCGAGAGAGAACACGCAGGCAAAGCAATACAACAGCCTGAGAGGAGCGAGGAGGAAGCATGCTATTGACAGTGTCCTTAAGCCTCCCACAAATAACAGCCATTAGTGGGAAGGTCAGGAGCTGAGCAGGCAGCTTGACTGAGGCACTGAGTGCCACTTCAGAAATCAAGAGGCTAGCAAATTTTAGAGGGAGTTTAAGTGGGTAATAGCTAGCTGTAAAGGTACAGTCACTGTTGACAATTGACTCATAGGGTCTTTTCCTGCCCTCCCCCCTCAAGAATATTTTTATTGACCACAGGTGGACTTAATATATTTTAAGGCAACAATTCTTTGGGTTCTTGTTTGCTTCTTCTCAGATATTGAATTTGCTGCTTTTGAGACTTTTTTGTGCTTAATGGTGGTGAACCGGAGGGAAGTTTAACAGAAAAGCTTTCAGGAGATGTTGGTTCTAGAGGGGAAGGCACATTTGTGTCAACATAGTGTACGTTTTCTCATCTTTTCTCATTGTCCACTAATGACACCGAGCTGCCATTGAAGCTCTTTTCTGTTTCTTTTGTTGTTTCAGAGAGTAAGGTTTATTGTTATTCTTCAGTTTAAGAAGGAGCAAGGAGAGTGGTACATTTGTCCTCGATATTTGTAGGTGGTTGAAGATTAATGTTCCTTACATTTTAAGTTTAGGAAGGATGGCTTTTTCCTGCTGACTACTTTTATGAGATGACATGAATATAGCTTTCCATTTGGAAGTCACTGTTTATGTACAGTGTATTCTGTTCAGTTCTGCTTTTCCATAAATAGGGTACGATAAATACTATCTAATAAATAGATGTTTTCTTTTAAAAACTAGTTTAATTAAGAATATGACATGCTATCGAGGTTATATTTCATCAGGCAGGAAAATGTTATAGAATTTTCCATAGAGATGTTGAATGAAAAATGGAATTTTATAGTCATTACTTTTTGCCTGAAATGGGACAGGATTTTTTTCTTCATCTTTTTCTTTTTTATATGATTTGAAAGGATATTGTAGATGCTTCATCCAGGAACTTTCACAAAGGACTTTTCTCTACTTTTGAACTTTAAGAAAAGGTATACTTTTTTCCTTTGTCATTCAATTTCTTATTACTTAACATCCAATTTAGTAATTAATGAATGACGTGAGGTACTAGACATTAAGTAGTATACATGTATGTATTTTGCAAATGTTTACTGTGCATCTTCCATGTTAAAAAATTGCTAAGTTTATTTATTTACTTCCTAGAGTGTAAAGTTATGTCCCTATGTATATTATTTTCTCTAGGAGTTGGTATGTGGTTATAAATAGCCCAGCACATACTATATGACTTTTAGGAGTTAACATTTTGACAACAACTGAGCCAATTTTACATTCTCTTACATCCAAATATTTTTCTTTCTCCCAGTATAACTAGAAAAAATAATGTTTAAGCATAGCAGTTTACAAATGTTAAAGCAAAGGCTGATGCCAGATACTGCATGTTATACCTGAAAGCATTGTTGGGGGAAATTCCCTGGGAAGGGCCCCAGCTTCTCCTCACCCCGTGCACCGTCGGTCTGTGATCGTGGTGCTGCTTGGAGCGTGCAGAAGTGTGTATCTCTCAGTGTCTGGAGAGGGGTTAGTGCAGGGTGTCATTTGGTGCCTGACAGTGGAACGGTGCAGTTGACTCTTAGCTCTGCTATCCAATGACATGCAGTGGCTGAGAGTTTGAAGCTGATGGTTGGGTCTCCAGTGCTGCCTGCACACCTGACAGGCAGCTGTTAAACTGAGCAAAGGCAAGCTCGGGGAGTCACAATCTATGCATAAATGATAGGGGTATCTGTGCAGAAGGTGCGAAAGAAGCTCGGACCCCCTCCCTCCCCCAAGTCTCCCCCTTCCCAAATGAAATGCACAGTTCAGCCAGCTTCTTAACTACACTACACTCCTGCTACTGGCTGCCAAGAGGCTCAAAAAATCCACCTTCACTTTTCAGTCAGAAGAGGCAGAAGTGGATGTGAGAGAAAGAGAGACACAGAGAGACAGAGAGCCAAAGAGGGCAAGAGACTTGACTTTAAGAGACTCCTGTACTGACAACTCCATGCAGTTCGGAACCAGAACGACTGCGGCTGAACCAGGGTTCATGGGGACATGGCAAAACGCTGATACTAACCTTTTATTCAGAATGTCCCAACAGGTAAGTTACTTTCTTTTTTTTTTTTTTAAAGAAATCTTGAATTGTTATGTGCACTTTTGTTTCTGCTGTTTTTCTTGCTTAACATTTACAAAAAAATTGATCACTTCATAGTCGGGCTCTATTTTGTCATAATTGTGTTACTGGAATGTGCAGGGTTACTTCATGGTTTCCCTAAGGGCTCCTTAAAAGAAAAAGGGGGAAAGGATACTGAAGTAAAAGAAAGCAAAGGCATTTGTTGCAAAGTTTCACAGTACAACCTGGGTCAAGAGAAGACAATTTCTTTGTTTTCTGTTAAAATTTTTTTTCTAAAAAGCCACCACCCGACAGATGTATCTTTCTATCTGTATTAATCACTTCATCAAAGTATCTGCTATCTCAGAGGAGGTTCTCCAGCCCAACAGTGACAAAATGTAGGGCCCCCTCCGTACAGCCCAGCTGACTTGCTGAGGCTGGAAGCAGCTGGAACTCCGACCTGAGGACAGGAGGCTATGCAGGGATCGCTGCCAGCGCCCAGGGTCGCTGGAGGAGGCGGCGTGCGTGGCGGGCTGTGCCGGCCGGTCCCAGCTCCTCTGCCCGCCGCCTACTGCCCGCCCGCCTCCGCTCGCTCCCGCGCTCCCCGCCGGCTCCGGCTCCGGCTCCGGCTCCGTGCGCCCGCCCGCCAGCCCGCCGGTGCACTCACACTCCGGAGCAGCCTCGGCGTCCTCCCCAGAGCCTCTCCTCCGTCCGGCCGAGCTGGCGGCGGCTGGGTGTGCTGGCCCTGCCGGGAAAGCTAGGTGTTAGTGCGAGGCCAGCGGCTACTGATAATTAATCACCGAGCCGGCGGCTTGTACCATGCGCTCCGTGATACGCGCCCTGCGCGCTCGGCTCCTCTTGCACAATTGCTGGCTCTGCGGCTCCGAGGGGGAGCGAGGGTGAGAGGAAGCAAAGGGAAACAACCCAGAAACTTTCATCTTGGACTGTGCTCAAGCGAGGGAGGGAAGTTCCCTGGTGCCTCCCTCCCAGACACGTCTTGCTTTTCAAAAGCCTGCACCAAACCCTTTACACAAAGCCAGAGTTAGTGTGATATTATCATCCACGCAGCACGAAAGGATCAACGACAAATACTTGGATTTTAAGCAGATGACGGTTAAGAAATTGAAATTGTTTCACTCATTTAAAAAAATGTAACTGCTTTCTTTAAGAAGAAAAAAACCTGTTTTGTTTGTAAGAGTTCATGAGAATGAACTATTTTATTGAATTAATTTAGGTTTTTAAAAGTATTGATAATGAAGGAAAGAGAACAATTTGCTAGGCTATGAACTACCATAAGTTCAGAAATCCATCTGCAGAAGATTGTGCACAGAGCCAGGGTTTTGTAGCAGATCGCTAGCGAACAGTTTGATCACAGAATTCTAGAAAGGATAAATGCATTTGAATAAGGTGTATTTTGACATATCCTGTAGAGGGACCCTGATTACTGCTGATACGGTAAGCTGGGGTTTAAATGCAATCAACATCAACCCAATAAGCAACTCTGTATGTGCAGTTTCCCATTCTTGCAAGTTAAGTTCATTTCCTCCCAGAGATACTCCTTGTCATTGCAGTGTGCTTTGAGAGGTGTGCTTCTGAGGCAGATCCCTGCCTGGGTGGCTCTGTTGGTGGTTGGAACACAGTGTGTTTTCACTGACCTTAGGACCAAATAACTTGCGCCACGCTTTAAAAATTAGATGTTACCTTCAGGGTTTTGAGTGAGTGAGTGGAGGTCAGGGTGTGTGTGTGTGTGTGTGTGTGTGTGTGTGTGTGTGTGTATGTGTTTTGAAAGGGAAAATTTGTTTAGGTCTCCCTCTAGCTAGAAAAGAGTTAATAAAACCAGATAGAGATAATGATCAATTGATAAATGGCTATTGAACCACATAGATGGTGTTAGATTGCTTCTTTGGCACTAGCCCATTTTCAAGTAGATTTGAATCTAAAGAGACATTAAGTTGTGGAAAACATTTTAGCTTAAAAACACACAAATAAAAGTAAATTATATAAATGATGGAACAGAATTAGGAAAATAATTTGAAATCTCTCAGAGAGACTTGTACAGCTAAGCTATTCTGACGTATTTGACCCAGCTATTTGATTTTGTGGATATTTAAAGGTCTATTTTGTGTGTGCATGTGTGTATGTACGTGTCATAGTGAGCTTCAGTGACTATATAAACAGAGTAGAAAAATATAGGGAAGTTATTTATGCATAATGATGTTATGTAAAACTATAATATTAATTATACTATTTACTAAACAGTAGTGCAATAAAGGGAGAAATTAACAATCTAAAAAGTGTTGTGATTTAACTATATTTTGTTTCATTTTTTGGTTTTGATACAGTTAGCGACTCCCCCCTCTTTTTCTCTTCTGGTTACTATATGTTTACCTCCTGTGCATTTTTGGAGAACATGTAAGAGAGGGTCTGAATTTACACGTGTGGTGTTTTTTTCTCCTTCTGGATGACATTTTAGTTTGTATAAATATTGTGTAAACTTAAGTTCAACAATGTGTAAATCTAAAAAATATATGTGCTGTGCATGTTTACCATGTTTATTTTCCTTAACTATAGTTCATCAGCAATGCTGATTTAGAGTGTGTGTGTGTATGTGTGTGTGTGTGTGTGTGCAAGAAAGACACTTTTTTAAAACTGATATCTCTTGAATCCAACAGTTTTAAAGGAATATTAGTTTCAATATAAAAAACATTAGCCAGCTATTGTCTTACTACAAGTAAAAGTTTGTCCAGTTTAATCAAGTATGCAAAATCCTGTATATCTTATTGCTGACAGTAAAAAGATTTTTCTTATTATGATTGTAATTTTTAAGAAAAAAAATAACTGTTATAGCTTTTGACATAAAATTTATTGGGTATGTTTTTTTATTTCAAAGTTTTCTGTAATAACATAAAAACTTTAAGATTTACCTGATTATTTCATTAAATATTAGAGGAGACTAGTTGTTATCAAAATTGACTTAAAGAGAATTCACCATCAGTATTATTTAACTACAGCACAAGTTGTAGTAGAAAAAGCCTCATGCATACTGAAATTTAATAATCTAGGTTTGTCTTTTACAGGTAAATTAGGAGGTAGAGATGTAAAAATCTTTGTCTTTTGTTTTGTGTGAGTAAAGTTGAATCTGCTTATAAATCTTTCAGTCTGTCTAACACTGACAAAAAGATAGCACAATGTGAAGCCAGTTTAGATTTGGTGGAATTAAGGATGTTCTCCTAAAGTTCGAGATACAACAATTTGAGTGCATTTTTCTGCCTCTCCACAGTTTTCTCCCATATTCCATTATGATTTTTTCAAAAGGGATAATTTTTTTCCATACAGACAAATATTTGATAACCTTAAAGGGCATGACTCTTGACTTAGTAAAGGGAGTTCTTACTTGGGTTACTTTGATCAGTGACAGGCCGAGAATGACCAGAAACACTTTACTCATCGTCTCTGTTAATCTCCTGGAGTCCAGAACGTTATTTTGCCTATTTTAACCTCATGAAGTTTTTGTTAAAAGCAGAAAATAAGGCCTGCTTTTGGAAGTGTTGGGTTTTTTTTTTAAATCGGGTTTTAAAAGGTGGTTTTTCTAAAATGTTTTGTATTTGAGAGACTAGCATATAAAATTTTTTGTAGGTACCTCAAGGGACACAAATCTAATATATTTTGAAATCTTTTCAGAAATGAAACAGGTAAATGGCTATAGCCCACGTTTTACCCGTTTACGTTACTAGAGGCATTTTCCTTTAATTATTGGTGAGGTATATTTAACCTTTGCAAATAAAATGTAGATTCCTTAATAAGGTCTCTTTTCAGACATGAGTGAAATACTAAGTTAGAATTATAAATGACTGTGTGCATCATTATGTAGTAATTTAGGATTCACCCAATGATGTAACACAATTAACAACATAATTTCATTGTGAAACTGTGTCTTATTAAAGAACACTGTCTGACATTCTCTTACAGTTGCTTTATTTAACTTCATGCAAATATTATTAATAGTGACATTTTTTCTATTGTGCACTAGATTCTCTCATTAGCATGATGTGTTAGTTATCACCAGAGAAATAATTTCCTAGATAGGTGAGGGGCAAACCAAGAAAGCTAAAAATTAAATCAACGATTTACACTAATGCCAGAGCATCTGCTCACCAGAGATAGGAGAGAGTAAAGCAAACTTTCTTACTAATATAAAATCTAGCACATTTCAGAGAAATGATAAATAAAATATATTGTAAGAAATATATAATAACATTCCTGTTCCTGGAATGAATTTTAAAGAATGTTTGATATGAAATTTTCTCCCAATAGTCTCTTAGTTCTTTCTATTCATATAGGCAAACAGAGTTTCATTTTGTTGAAACTATAGTTTAAATTGGAAATGGTGGTTTTGTCTGACTTCTCACCCCTCTCCCCTAAATAATTTGAGTGTTTATTCACTAACAGTTTAAAAGGCACATGTATCATTTCCCCCCAGAAGTCAGGTGTTTAATTGTTTACTGTGGTTTGATTCTTTTTGGTAGTTCATACAATATATTTTTATTCTAAACTCCATCCCACTCATGCAGACATCTCTTTTAACATAGGATGTATATTCTTATTTAATCAGAGCCCTGAGTAAAGCAGCTGCTAGTTAATGGTCTTTGAAAATGACTTTCACTGCCAGGCATCATCCATCCCTAGGTTTCTGCACTTTTTCCTCCCCCCTTCTTACTCCTCTTCTTACAGTTGGTGTCTTTTAGTGATCGTGTCTTATTTTTTTAAAAAAGGATTAAATTGACCAAACTTATGGTCGTGATGCTGAAATAAATATTTATATTATATTAGGAGGCATGTAATTTCTGCCTGTTGAATTACTAGGCTGCTCTCCTACCTCCTATTTAGTTCCCCTCTCTAATTTGAGTGGTATTAGGTTTTATTTTGAAGTTTCAACTGTAGACATATATTCAAATATAATTCTTAACATACACTCTGGTAATGTAACATGAAAATAGGAATATTTGGGTAATTGTTACAATACAAATTGTAGCATAGAGACAGGTGCTTGTGGAAGTCTGTGTATAGCATGCAGACTTCACTTAACAGACACTGCCTAATTTGTAATGCATTGGGGAAGTAGCAATGGATCAGCAGTAGGTCATATAGGTGGTATTTAGATACATGTTAATGCAAGTAAAACATGCACATATTCTCAGATGTGTATGATGTTTACCTTAAAACCTGTCCACAAATTTCAAGTTTATTTTCAACACGGTATGCTAAGGGAATTTGAACATAGTAGGTGATCATTTTGAAATTATTTTTCTCATCGTCTGTCATCTGCAAACTGGTACTGTGTGTCTGTATAATTTGTAAAGCCTTTTGCTAAGGTGAGTCAGGTAACCACAGTTGAAAAACAAATCCCTAAAGGTGCAGATATCTTATCTATAATTGCAGTTATTTTTTTAATAATTATATTTATGAGTGTAAGTTAACATTCACTGATAAATCCAATTATTCATGCATGCCTTTATGGAAATCTGATTAATGTAGTGACAGGACAGATTTGGGCTACCACAGCAGCACATACTCCCACTCCTATGTCAGGGTTAAGAGCTGCGGCAAATCCTCCCTAACTAATTAGATGCTGAGTAAGGCATCTCTGAGAAGTTGGGGCAAAAGTGAATGGGTCACAGCCAACGCAGGATTGCAAGGACTCCAGTGATAGTGAAAGCATTCAAGTTTGCCAGGTCGTTGTGACACAGGGAGCTGATTCCAAAGGAACAGACCGTTACAGATAGTGAGCTGGCGTAATCCACTTCAATGAAAAAACAAAAATGCTAGTGCTGCTCCCTTCCCACCTTATATGCATGACACACACTCACTTAAACAAAGTTACATTGTGCCTCCACCCTTATCAGTCTGCAAAGCTTTAGAGAGGCTTTGCCTTATAAACATGAATAGCTAATGATGAC